GCCATCACCTGATTGATTTGACCCAGTCAGCTTAGTTGAGTCAGCTCTCAAGGAATGCTATTTACTTCAAGCATTCGGAACAAAGTAATTAGCATTCCTTGCCAGTTGACTCGACATAGAATTTTCACGTCAAAGCACTTCAAGGTGTTTGAAACAGTGTATTAGCATTCTTTCTTGCAGAGTGTATACTGTAGTTCGCTGCGGACGGTTGGGCGTGTCAGTGCGGCTGCGTTTGGCGCGGTGCCAAACTCGTTCTACACCAGTTGTTGAAGCGGGCAAGTGACAATACTGTATCATATGCTTCGTATTACTCGTTTTCTACCACTTTTTGTCGCATGCGCTCTCAAGAAGGCAGAGAACGGTTCTGATAGGGTGACACTCATACTGGCTGACACGCCCAACCGTCCGCAGAGAACTAGAGTGTATAGCGTTAATTCCGAGTAGCGGCGACCGCGAGAGGTTTTGCAAGCGGAGTGGTGTGCACAGCATTCGCTACAGCACCCAATTCACTTGTCAGGCTACGGACAACATGAACTTAATCCCTCTGAACGCGTCGATCTTCTCTTTTTCTCTGCACTCTCTCGTCCGCATGGCACTCTATGGCCGTTGTGACTTCGCTCACTCCAGCTTTTCACCGACTATAAGTAGCTCACCCACATCGGAATCCCCTCCCATTGGAATCTCGTTTCCTGACTCGGCATACACTTTGCACGTTTCGATGCTTTGGCAGCCGCTGCCCTCTATCCGTCTGCGTCACAGGGTTTCGTAACAGGACCATGCACAAAAGTTCAAGATGTCACGTAACCGTGTGGCAGCGCGGCTTCTGTGTCTGTGTCTCTCGCGTCAGCTAGTTAGGTAATCGTGCGGGTCAGCGCCTCGGAAGAAACTCCATACTCCTGAACAATACGCACGCTTTTTCGCCCTCCACTTTACTGTTTAAGTTCAACTTGTCAACATTTTTCTCGCTACCGTGCTCTTCGCATTTCACTTTTGTGAGTACTGCATGATGTTTGATAATATAGTATTGCACAGCTCATTTGTCATGACCGTTGAAGTAATATAAACAGCCATATATCTCTTTTCCTTTCCCATCAATAACATGCCCTTTGGCAGATGCCTTAAATGTCCTACTGTAATGTCTGATCTGTGTCGTTCTATCTTTCACGGTAAATCAATTTTTCGACAGCATGATCAATCCGGTCCAAAAAGATCATCAGTGGGAAGTTCACTGAACAGAATAGCGCATCCTGGCAGATCATGAATAACACAGGTGTTTCGTGGCTTTCAAGCTCGTGGGCGATAAAAATAATGTCCTGCGTGCAGCCGTGCATGAATCCGGTTCGGTTTGGGTTCCACCGATTTATATGATGATTTGTGGTCGTTTGGTCTGCGGTATAACGTCGGGATGCCCTATTGTTATTCGGCGGGTTCTAGTTAAACTTCTTCATTTCGATGCGTCAAATCTCTTTAGTGAACTTCCCACCAAACTGTGCTGCTGATGCTTCAATATATCTTGGGCTTGGCATCTCCAATCTTTAGTGCTCGACCAGCGCCAAATCGAATTCTATCTTGTCGAATTCTATCTGTCATTATCGCTGGCAACTGCAATCTTCAACTTCTTCTGTGTTCGTTGGAGCTATCAGTCGTGTAGTATCGTCGTTTGTGCGCAGCGCAAGCCTCGTTCTCTCATGCGCTCGTTCTCACATGTGAATGCGGCAGCTACCAATACTCGTGTTGGACGAACGGGCTGGCGCCATGGCTCCATGAATAGCCCCTGATACGCCAAAGTCTGTAAGGCAACAGCAGTTCGACTACTCCACTTTCCTCCTGAACTCTGTCTGTGATTGAGCATTACTCCCTGAACGGTCGTCAACGAGCATCTGTCATTGGTTCTACTTTCACGTGTCGTACTTATCCGGGACATTAAGCCGAAAACACCGCACCATTTCCTCGCCGTCAGTAAAGCTCACATCAACAGGCCGACAGATCTCACCGCCGCCGACATTCCGTTCTGTGTTTGTGTTTTCTGTTTTTGTATTTTCTTAAGACTTATGTAGCGGGTTAGGAACTCAAACATCATTTCTCTCGACGAAATGTTTAAAAAAAATGTTTGCGACGATTGCAGTGATTGACATGGAAAAGACGGGTCGAGAGTATCTTCGAGCAGAATTGAAAGCGAAGGGAGAAGCGGATACCGTAGAAGATATGCTTCGAGTAGGATTCCATTGGCCACCATTGGTCACCGTCAATCATTTACACATGCACATTCTCTATCCCATCAGAGAGGTAAAGTAAATAATTTGTTCTCATGAATAGAAAAGATGTTTTTTTAAAATTGTGCTGTCCCGGAGCCTCATTGCAATCTGAATGTTGAACACATAAAAGAGGCGCCAAAATTTATTGCAAAAGACTCAAAAGATTCAAAAGAATCCAAAAGTTTTCGCAAAAAAATTTTTATTGTTTATACTCCTTCGGATATTTCGGTGCCTAGCACCTTCTTCAGCGATCTCCGATCTGGTCTGCTGCTCCGATATCTGCCGCCGCCGCTCCTCGTGAAAACCGCGTCGTCTTGTGTACTCTAGACGCAGCGGACTTCTTAGTAAGGAATGAATCCCACGAAATAGTCGAACGGGGGTTGAGTTTTTGAGCCGCCTTGTTGCTAAAATAAATACTTTAGCACTATACTGTACAACGCGGGCGGTCTCTGGGTTTTTTTTCTCCATTTTATGATTCACATGAGTGAGATTTATGAATCCCAGCAAGTCAGTGGGTTTTCCTCCAGAAAACCGAAACTATTGCTGTGCTCATAATCTTTCTCAAGAATACAAGGGCTCAGGAGGTCTAGGAGTGTGGTATGACCACACTTCTAGAGAAGCTACGATTCGCCATGTCAGTAAGTTCTAACCGGAAAGTGTTTGATACGAAATCCACTTTCGCTTCATTTTGCAACTTTCTGTCAGATAGAGGGGAATTACTGTTGTAGGAAGTAAGGCCGTACACCAGACGTGAACTGCCGCGAGTTGGAGGGAGCATGGGGGGGAGGGATCATATTCCCGTATAGGCCTTCTAACTTATGGGGTCAATTACGCTCTTGTTCGCTGCGGACGCTGGGGCCTGTCAGGGGGCTATATTTGGCGCGTCGACAGCCGGTTCTCCACCTACTGCGGTCGCGCGCCAGCTTTCACATTTGTGGAGAACATGCTGGCGCCGCGCCAGGCCCATACCCTCCTCCGTCGCTCCAGCCTCCGCAGCGAACAGTACTGTATTTGTTGCCAGACTTGCCTGGATAAGTCTGCCGTCCTGTATATCGGTGACTCCAGCAAATCCATTATGTGGGCCACATGCTGCTCAAAAGCTTCCATGTTGGTGAATGGAAGTAGAATGCACGGCATATCTGAGGGATTGACCAACGCCGAAGGCTCATCCTTCATCTTTCATGTATGACATACTTGTCATTTGTTGAGTTATATGGGAAGTTTTCATCCCGAACCTTCTTACTTTGCCCTGTGAAAAAATTACCAAGATCATAACACCCAATGTGATTTTCAGGGTGTTGAAAATTGTGATTTATTTCTCTAAACCCTAATTATTTTAGCTTGGCTTCTTCTCACGTCACTTAACATTCCGTCCAGGAAAAGTGTTTCGACCAACGAGTGAAGTGATTGAAGAATTGAGGAAAGATGCCAATATTCCTGATCCATTTCAAAGTAAGCGAGTTTGATTTGCTTGTAATTCCTTTAGCTAGAATCTTGGTGATTTGCTTGTAATTCCTTTAGCTAGAATCTTGGTGATTGATTAAGATAACCGCCCGCCACAAGGATGAATGAATTTGATTTAAGATAACCCCGCTAAGGATGACGAACCTGAAGCTCTGCCAGCACATGCTGTTGTCAACTGACCAGCTCTCGATTTCTGCCAAGTATATCTCCGTTTTCAAATGGTTGTATGAGATTGGAATTTTCTACTTCTCTCCATGATTCCTACGTTTTCACTCATGTAAACAGTTGAACAGCCTGTGTGACCTCTATCGTATTGGACTGCGGACCTATGGTGGCCAGCGCTGTCCATTCTGTACCCCATAGGCTGCTCTGAATATAAAGCATATCTTGTGGTATGTATTTGCCTGCGGCTGGCATAAAAGAGATCTCCGATCTCGTGCTATTCTCCTGCCCAAATCAATCTCCTGTGGCGGCTTATACAGGCCTCACCGCAACCGCTCGCCTAGTACTTTTTTGCTTTGCCCGCTTGGTCCGTGATAAGCGCAGGATTAAGTGATGTACTTCCAAGATAGCTTGTGAAATCATTGCCAGGAGTTCGATATCACCAGCCATATCAATCCCCATACCGTACTCTTGCCAGTGTTTTTTTTATTTCGATTGATATGTTGTTTTATTATTGTTGAAAGCTATTGGTGCCTACACATAATAACTTTCGCCAATGTTCGAATGTATATACCAATGTGTAAAGTGTGCTTTCTGAAAGAAAACAGGGGCGGTCCTGCACATGGTTGCGATGCTGTCCAATCACGTGCTAACTCTGTTAACGATTCATTTCAGTTGTTTATAGCAACCATTGTAATGGTCATTTTGTTTATTACTCTATATCAGCGCCAGTATTAATAAATAAGTTTGTTTATTGCTTGTGCAAGATGCACCGGCATGCGAGCAGAGGGACGTGGCAAGACTGATCTGATCGTAAGGCCGCGATCATACTTCACGACTTTGGAATTTTTCTGGATTTGGAAAGGAAAAGAATTTTTTTCGCGAGACAGCGACCCAGCGCGCTCCACCGCCAGTCCTTGGACATTTGCTATGGTCTGGAAAATTCTATTGTGAGCGCCATTGAACTGGCAGTTACACAGATCCAAGGATCAACGACAGAATGCGGTGGGCTGTAGTCAGCAACTGTAAAATTATGCGAATCCGCTGTGAATCGCTTGAGTCCCGAAGTATGAACACAGTGTGCTGGAGGGGCTCTGACTTGAAAACTTCTCCTGAGTGGTGGTTTTTTTGTTCCGCTAGAACTAAACTAGAAGCATATATGCATGGGAAAAGGTTTTGGTTAGTCGTCGATGGGGAGAAGAAGGTGATGCTGCCGTATTTTTGTGCAGCACTGACAGATACTTCCCGAGGTAATCAACTTTGAAATGGCCGGCGTCATGTGTTCGTCGTTGAAGAGGCTCATCTTTTTTTGCTACAACGACGCTTCGTGCGCCATGGCCGAACAATGATATCTCCAAGCATAGTGGCATCTCACCCAGGGGAAATATAGCATCGTTCTGCTTACTCACTGTACTGGCCATAAGACACTACATACTCTTAACTGCCAGCAATTCTGAGAAAAAAAAATCTGGGGCTTTTGTTCTTGCTGCAAAAAAACCTGGACCCGTGCTTTATTCTCTCAAATGTTGGACAAACTTGTCATACGAACTTTGACTGGACATTTATATGCCTAACAAGATTCCACACAGCTTTAACCTTGATGGCTGACACAACTACAGGAAACAGCAAAATTGTTAACCCCCCCCCCCACCCCCCGTAGCACACCAACCATGATTTAGTGCGAACAAGAATTCACTGATAGATTCATTTGGAAAAGTTGCAACAATAACGGACAATAATATTGTGCCAACTTCAACAATGATAACAACAAAAATCCTATAAATATTACTGAACTTATTGTGGCTTACGGCCGCTTTGCCGAAGTAAATAATTTCGGAGACTTTTCTGCTGATCTCGGAATGAACGTTGTCGATTCTTTCCCCGAACCTAAACACAGGTTTCTTCTGTAGACAGAAAATAGATTTCTTTTCCTGTAAAATAAGAAGAGAATTCATAGAGGTAACTGGCGGTTATGGAGGGGCATTGTGCCGTTCCGCAAGTTGAAACTACCAAATGGTACATGTGAACCATTTTGGTTACAGGAGTTAGCAAGTCTTCACAACGTGACCTGTACAGGCTTCCCTGAATACTATTTGGTGCCCCCAGCAAGCCGAACTGCGCCAGTGTACTCTGTTGAGAGTAAGAGAACAAATGAACATGAGGAAACGTACCTTGGCTTTTACCATACTAAATACTTTCTTCTTCGCTAGTTCACGATTAGTTCTTCCAACATGAGGTCCCTGAAAGCAACTCAGAATAGAGGAAATGGTTAGATTTGCAAACATTGCTAGCCAAATGGGGAGAGGGGGGCGTAGTTTCGATTGAAGGTTAACTCCCCACCGACTGCAATGGAAAGAAACAGAAAAACATCCTTTTCCTGCGCTTATTCTCATTGCCGCCTCCCTGTTTACCGAGTTTTTGGAGCGTTTTCACCCACATTCGTTCCACCTCTTTTTTATTCACAATAAGGAGTGTACTAATGAGAGGGGCATGGGCTCGCCTGTTCCCGCCTATCTCATCATCGCGGGATGTAGTTTAAAAGAGGTAACCGGTGGCCTGTACGGAAGTTGCATTTTGAAATAGCTCACCGTTTTCTTTGGTCGACCAAATTTCTGGTTCTCATCATGGCCTTCCTTGATATCCGCCATGCGTTCTTCTTTCGTCTGCTTACGCTTCTTATGGAATTGCTCGATATCCTTCAATCGTGGCAAACCGTCTCCATCGCCGCGCCTAAAATTGAAAGATGACTGGTAAGAGGTCCAAATAATATTTATTCTCATCGACGTCAGGTGAAACGTCCTTACGTTACAGTTCTGGCGCCCGCAGCCTTATTTCATCAATGCGCCGCTGCCACATGACATAAGAAAGGCTGGTCCCCGCCAAAATATGGCACGCAGGAACGCCTTCACCCGGCGCTACGATAAGCATTACAGATGAGGCCGAAACGATAAACGGTTTGCTCTATGAGGACCGAATTCCTATGAGTCACGAATCGTCCTTATCAGAGAGCGAAAGGGGGATCTGCTTCTGCGGTCTGACTGCTACCCCCGTGTCGACTCTCCTCTCATGCACAATATGTCCGCCTCCCTTGTTGCTTTAAATCGTCGCCGCTCTCGCAGCTAGACCACTTGTTGCCCTTAGATGTGGACTGCTAAACCCCCCGACGCTCTGCCCTCAAACGGCTACCTTAGATATTTTCTTTGAAACGTGATGGCGCAGACGTCGCCGTTCGGACTAGGGGGGACATTGTGCACTTTCATCAGCTTCTTTTGCTAGTTCCTTTTAGATTACACCTTTTACCCTGTTGAGACTTGTAGACACTTGTCAAGCGTAAACGACATTCGCGCTATCGCACCTCTTTACAGGAATTACAAGTCTCCATCAGGAGCATAGGCAGTGATCGACGGGAACCAGCAAAATGCCCCTACCAAGCCGAACTGCGCAGCGCACACAAGAGGTAAAAGATACACAGCGCGTTGGCTAAACATCCGAGCGATTCATTTTCATAGCAGGAAAGCAAAGTGACAAGCTCTTCCCATGAAGAAAGCAGTAAGTGGATAGATAGATAGATACTAATCTAGCTAGCTCTAAATAATGTCACACCTTTCCATTCTTTCTCCCAATTCTTCAATTAGCTTGACATCATCGTTTTTCCTAGCGTTTCCCAGCTGTTTTTTCAGTCGCTTCTCTCCAATGAGTTTTTTCTTCAGTTGATATATCCGAATTTGCTTGAATTCTTCCTGAAAAGGTAAAAGGTACAAGTACAATCGAAAAGGAGTTCACCAAGCTGACCACTTGTACCTGTGTAAGTATTCTGTTAGAGCTGACGATTTCGGCTTTCTTTCTGGGATCCACTTCATTTCTTTCAGATAGGTTAGACGTTGATTCAGCTTCTTGATGAGATGTCTAAATCAACTGTCTCAGCTCAGGCAAAAAAAAAAACCATCGACCTCATCTGTGTCCACATCTGAAGTTACACATTTTTGGGAAAGGGGCATTCAGTAAGATGAATTGGCTAGCAATGGGCAACAAAATCTCACCACTTATTTCTATGGAATCGTCACTATCGTCCGCTTCATCCACTTCCATTTCACCTGTTTCCTGTCGGTTTTCTTCGAGAACCTCTGCGCCAGGTACGAATTCAGCAACTGCAGGTTTAGCAAAGCCCAAAAATCTGCAGCAGAACGATCCTTTGAAAGGCTTCCAGTAGATAACGTGACAAAAACAACTCACTCCTTCTCGTCGTCACCATCAGTTGGTCGACCTCGGTCTTTTCTGGCGAGAAGACGAGGATTAACAGAACGAAATAGAGTAATAAGCGCACGAGCAGCCATTGACACATTCTTGTTCTTGTACGTTTTATACTGGAAAACAAGAATTTAACACTTACAAAGGGGTCAGATCCCAGAAACAAGACCACAAACCTCCGCCAGATCTCTTAGGAGCTCTTCAGTGGCGGCAAATGGACAATTCGCAAAGATTTCGCGAATTGCGTTTATTCCTACAGTAATGGCTTCGGGAGAGTTTCTGAAAGAGCAGACTTCCGCATAGAATTTCAGCTAGAAGAAGCTCCTCCCATTATATTGTCCTATGACACAGTACTAAAACCACAGGGTACTTGGAAAGGGAGTCAATCCAGAAGTATTTCAGGAGCTAATAACCTCAGAGGGGCATTCAAAGGACTGCCTGTGCGAAAGTAGTATCGATGTATGGAAATGAGGACTTTTGCCCAGACTTGGAGCAGGAAGAAAATCTTGGGTGCGGGGAAACAATCCAAAGTTCAAAATACAATTTATTCGGACGACGGTGACCCGTTATGCACAAAGAGTCCTTTGAATCCTTCTTCTTAGACTATTACAGTCATATTTCTTACATAGAATGTCAACTTAATATCGAGCAAGTTTTACACTATTTACCCTTTCCTCAGTTTTCAAGGTCGAGACTAGATTTTCGTTGAAACTTGTCTACAAAGGCGGATTCGACCAGGAATTCGACTTTTAGGTAGTTTTACGCCTGCGACAGGAATACCGCATCGGCCTGACCCGGAAACGCCTGCCAAGAGAGGTCGGCAGATCAATGCCAGAACCACACCTATTTCGAGCGGAAACGTCTGGTGCCCCGCTACGGGGTGATAAGCGAGACGCGCCTGCAGCGCCGAAGCCTGCTGCGAGGGTAACAGGCGTTTTCACCCCGAATGGATATTTTAAATGGCATTCGTGTTGATCAGATGAAGCTAGCAAGGGTCAAAATTTTACTTGACCTGCCCTCAGGAAGAATTCCGGGAAAATCCAAGCCCAGACTGCGACAAAATGGCAGTGAAGGGCAACTACAACTGTTTTTTTTTACCCATACTGGTGCTAAAAATTTACTCGATTCAAAGGCGAATTCTTTTACCTGTCTGTGACGAAGTTGTTAGCGATGGTACGGACGAGCTGTTCCACTGTATCTGGAGGGATCATCTCGTGGCAAGCTTGTGCAGCGTAGAGTAGAATCCTTGTCACCTGATAAGTAACGATACAACATGAAAAAACGCCTCGGAAATAAAAACTCACATCTCGTTGCTTCGGCTGTAGATAACGATGAAGATATGAGTAAAAGCTGAGAGTATGCAGACGATGCACACCAATAACTCTAGCACATAACGCCATGCGGAATAACCTCACCTATAGGGATAAGCGTTAATCATTAAAAGTAAAATACCGTAGAAAATGCAAAATAGTCACCTCATATTTGTCGATTTTCTTACTCTCTAACATCCTGTACAATTTATCGGCAAATTCCTGAGGGTCATATAAAGACTGAATGGCCAGCAAATTGCATTCCTTACTCCTTCCTTCTGCAATAGTACAATACAGCTGGTAGTTTCGATGCAATACTCCATGGGGATACTATTGCTTTTAATCACTCCGCAGAACGAACCTTTCTTTGCCTTTTTCTTTTTGTTAATCGCTCTCTTAGACCTTTCCAAATCTTTCGTCCTTTTTCTGGTCTTCTTCGCATGGCGGAATGCACTCATTACCTAAAAAGGTATATCAATGAGAAAATCAATGGAAGCGATTCAGATTCAGAGTGGATTACTCCACCTCTTTGATAGTTTTTCCTTCCTCTTCACTTTGACTATCGTCATCATCACTAGCTTCACTGTTGCCGTCCTCGTCCTTTTTGGAACCCAAGAAAAATTTCATCCCTGTTACCTGCAATCATCGCAGATGAAGTAGGTGAAGAGATGCATGTTCTAGGTTGAAAGAGTAACCGACTCTTTACGGATTATGAAATCCCCAGCGCTTGTAAACGTGGAGGAATTCGAAAGAATGAGTATCATGCGTATGAGTATGAGCATCAGTACCAAAAGAAGCAACGCCTTTTCGAATGGTTCACCAATTAAAAGGAGCTCCTCATAATTCAAGTTAAGGCAAAATTCCTCGCGTCCATCGCGGGGATCCCAGCTGCGGGAAGTCTTTCTTCAAACGTCTACCCCCTCGAACCATTAGCGTTTTCTTTCTCTCGAAAAGAAATGCTGTCAGCATGCGAGCTTCACAACATTCTTCCTGCTGGACAGCAATCAGTACTAGTTGGCGCAGTTCGGCTTGGGAGGGGCATTTTGCATGTTCGTCGCTTCCAGTTGTCGTGTCGAGCCACCGAGTAGAATCTGTGAAATTTTGTGAGCCCATGAAGTGATACTAGTCAAAGTTTGTATAAACCACTTGGTAACTTAAACCTGTCAACTCTTGTAAAGTAAAGAACATGACAACGGAGAGCAGCAAAAACGCAAAGCCCCCTCTCCCCTAGCTGAACTTTGTTGGAAATTCTCACCACGAACTGGAGAGAGTATCGAAATCAATTTACAGCAATGAGTAGTTTTCCAAGGTGACGCAAAACTTCTAATTGGAGACGAACTTGAAGTCACAGTTTGCGAGAGCTCGATGGGCGGAGATAGAGAAACACTGTGCCCTTCTTATTGAAGTGGCTCTCCTTCGAAGCAGCTCTCCTTCGAAAGCAGTTTGAAGAAGAGGAGTGTGCTTGGACTGGTTTCTCGTTCCCAGCCCATCTACCAAGACGGAGAGCACATTTTTTATGCGGAAAACACTATACGTAAGTATGAAGTCCCCGGAAAAAAATTCAACTAGGAGGAAGGCGCATCAAATCAGAGCAGTTCAACGGATGTAGTGGACTGCTAAGCGTCTACTGTATTACACCGCTCACTTATTTACTGAATCAAATAATGAAAGATGTGAAAATTGAGACCTGAATCTTCGGCGTCTTGTGAAAACACGTCTCGGCTATAACATTCGCACATTTGGCATCACGCCAATAACGCCTTCGGTAGGCATCAATACAAATAAGTTGTGGCTGCTCCTCGCTACGATACCACGAGATCTGAAGAGGATTTTGCAAAGGTGCCGTTTCTAAGGCTGCGTTCATTAATTTTGGTGACTACGAAAGAACTCCTGGGATTCTGGAGTAGAGCACGTTTTGAGCGACCAATCGATTTGTATGCTTATAAGGATGCTCCCACAGGCCAGTTGTCCGAGCGCCCCAAAGTAAGACACACACTAGCAGCAACTCAAGCAGAGAACAGACCTCTCAGTTTAGGCGAAAACAAGTTCTGTAATCTTCCCAGCATACTTTCATGTTCTTCTCTGGTATATCAATCGTTTAAGTAGTGAGGAAATGGACGACATTATAAACTTCCTACAATTTCACACTTTTCGGACGCAGTTTCAGCAATGATTGTTTCAAACCTGAGTTGTTTGTCCTCAAGTTTTACCAGTTCGAAGAATATGTCCATAAATTCCAATGGATCGATAAAGATTTCTGAGCTTAGCGAAGAGTAACAGTGGCATTGAACAAAAGGACATTCTCACCTGAAAGTGAGGGTATCTATTCATTTGTTAATGATGCATAATCCAAGGAGGTGGACTGCACGAAGCCAATGAGAAACAATCGCAAAATAAAAATATCTGCCGTTCGAAGGGCCAGTCGAATCGCCAGCCCGCTTGCAACGGTGCAGGGCACCACAGCTAGAGTAGAAGGAACTTCGAATAATTTCAGGCATAAATCGCTGAATGTACAAGGCCTGGTAAGAAGTGACTGCTTTCACGATCTCCACAGAAATGTTGCCAAAAACCGAACACGCCGAAGCGCAAGTAGCGAAAGCGCACAATCCTCCCCTGGTCGACTAACATGAGTATGCAGTGAGTTACCACCTCCGCCATGCCGAGAGCAAAGAGTTATGTATACTGCAATTGCCTGATGCCGGCGCTAACGTACCTGGAGTGAGCCAAGCTTCGAAAGATCGCTGACCACGGCAGCTCTGGTCGTACACGCCTTTTCTCTCTCAGAGGTGGAGATCTCTTCTTGTCTCCAGGTTCAAGCTAAGAATAGCGCGAAGATCTGAGCAGCCGCACACCAGTGTGGCCGCGCTGCCCTTCCAACTATGTTAGCGCCAAAATGTCATTGCTGCTGACGTTATGCCACGTTCTTACCTCGCGGAAGTGAAAAATCGACGAATAGGATATGTACCGAAGTGAAGGATTGCGGAAACAGATCGATATATATCTAATCCTTTTCGCCACTTACTCGGTTGCAAAGTATGAACGCAACTTTAATGCAACGACTTACGTGAGGATCAAGGCCGCTCCCTTGCTCGCGAAGGACGCCTATCAAATGCGCTGAGAACTCCTTTGCTTGTTCTGAAAAAATGAAGGGTAAAAAATGAGGACTGTTCAAAGAAGGCTGTTTACCTGGGTAGTGCTTAGCGAGTCCTGACAAGAATGTCACCGATTCCAACAACGGCTGTAGCTCCATTCTATGTTGTTGCGGTTGTAAATGAAGCAATTTCATCGTGTGAAGGTAATGATCAAACTGTTCCATGAACTCCTAAGAATATTTCAACATCTTGACTCCGTGGAAAACCACACTCTGTTTCTGGTTCGGCGACGGGAGGGAGGGGGGGGGGCGCTATGCACTTCTGCTAGTTCCCATCGACGTGCCGAGCGATCAAGTAGAGACCTGTGAAATCATGTGAAGTGATACTAGCCAGATATAACCTGCCAATTTTTGTAAAGCCATGAAATACCATACAAATACAATGCACCACGGTGGCTCAATGAGTTTGCTCTAGCATCACAAGGGTTTACAGGTCTCACCAGATGGAACTTGTGAACCGTGTAAACCGTAACTAGCGATTGCTGCGAAAGTGCAAAATGCCCCGTCGCCGAATTGCCCCCCCCCCCAAACAGCAGAAAAAATACAGGGAACTGCGCTATTCCAAAGGAGTGCACATGAACTGACCTCTTTGTAGGATTCTGGATCCTTGCGAATAATCTCCATCATAAGCCCAAGATTCCTCTCGGACATGGAGTATCGGCTGTTTTTCTGTGCAGTGGCTACAGCAGCCATGGTTACCTGAAGTGAAATTTAAAAGCCGATGTAAAAGTAAGTTTCCAGCAAAACACTGAAAGCGTGCTTACTTATAACAATAGCAATGCTTTATTTCTAAGCCATAAAGAAGACCAAGGTAACATGAACGAAAATAGCCAAATATCGAAAAAGTTGTGAAGACCGCTCTCAAGCTACTAGTAAAAGAATAAAAAGCATATTTCACGTTTTGCGCACAACCGATATCCTAAACCTACTTTCCAAGAAAAGAAGACGTTCAGTTCAACCTAAAAATGAACAGAGTTTCTATAATTTGAAGGCAAAAATTATGCGCTCCAATGCAAAAAAATGCCGTCAGAGGGAAATCTCGTACAGCACCGCCGCCGCGCGCGATGGTTGCGGCGTCGTTACGCGATATCCTTCTTCATTCCTCTGCAGGTACATATTTGAAAAGGATTTCTTTTGTCGGAAGTTATGCATAACGCTATGCAACACGAGGATTAGCCTGTTCTGTGATCTTCAAGCATGAAAGACCATAGGCTTGCCAGTTCCTTTTATATCGCCACGACGCCAGCTTTCCTCCGGAATAGTAGAGTTGTTTGAACCAGGGCACCTCCTGTCATTGGAGGCAGACC